TTAAACCATTCAATGCTACAAGTGTCATTGCGGCAAGCACAAATTTACCAAAAAAATAATAGCGCTATATACATACATATCTATGTATGTATGTATCCTTACGTTACAAACAAAAACAAAAACACAAGCACACACCACAGCGGGCGCCCAGCTAACCCAATAACCCAAGAGGCCTCTCCGTCTAACCGATGAAAAAGAAAAGCTAGCTACCTTGAACAGCTCTCTGGCTGCCTCCCACAACAAATGCAATTTTTGAATGCCAGCACCTCCAACCAGTGTTACCGTTGCGCGTCAAATTGACACTTTTTGGAGATCGATGCCCCCTGACACCGACTTTTTAGAAATGGGCTTATTTTTAAACTTTTCTTAAAAATCATACGACTTTTGCCCCTTTCTTTTGACTAAAAATTCTATATACAGATTTTGACAACTTTTACATAAAATATATTTTGTTTCTTACATATTTAAAAATGCTTTTAACATTTACTTATCAAGGGCCCTTAAAATTTACATCTCTGGCGAGATTTTGACCGATTTAATAATTTTCATTATGGCAAAATTTATCCGCAAAAATGTCCAGAAATAGCAAGAATTAGTGCACCGTTGTTGTAGCTTGAAATTATCTCAAAAATCTATAACTACCCAGCCAGCAAAGAAACGTAAATTTTTCCGACAGTGCAGTTATAATCAATTTTCGCATCCGGAAAACGTTCGAAAAAGATGATGTCATTTGAAAGCAATAATTGTATTTGATTTGCTCAAGCTAAATATTTGAAAGCAAGCATGCGTAGTCGGCAGTGGCTGAGCGTGCAGAGGAGTGTTCCGCTATTTGTTAGCTTCCAGAAGGTGACGGTTTCGAATTCCGTCAGGCGCTTCCTAATTTTATTTTATATATTTTGAACGATGAAAAAGTACCTGTGAAGTGCAGAAGGAAAGCGTATTGAACGAAAAATTCAATCAGATAAATTTCAGAAAAAGCAGCCCAAAACGTATCCGTTTCACATACTTTTATCTGTGCATACGTTTCTGCCGCACACTTTGGTAGGAAAACGGATCATCAAAGTATCCGGAAATGGAATTAGTAAACGGACAAAAATCCGCACTTCATTCACTTTTTTGTCCTTTTCCGGATCTGTTTTCGAATTTTTTGCTGGCTGGGTAGCCTAAGAGTCGATTTTATTTCGATTATGAATATGCCCTAATAAGTTTCGAGAGGTAAACGATTCGCATTATTTGAAGATACTTTTTTTCGTCTGTGACACTTTTTTTCGGCTTTCGAAAAATGTTCACCGGTAACATTGCCCCCAACTAACTGCCGCCAAAGCTTGCTGTTGTTGATTTTGTATGGACTGACTGTGGTTGGCTGTGAGCGCTAGCTGAAGCCCGGCGCTCCAGCGCACAGTTATGCATACATATTTACATACATGAATTCCTTCCTACATATGTTCCTTTGTTCACTTCAAAAGTGTTAGCTGTTTCATTCCAGCGCATTCCAGTGCAAAAGCTTTCCTCGACGAAAAGGAATTTTGCCCAGCACGACACACTTTTCCCAACAAAATTTTCAGTCTAGCGGCCAAACTTGAAATGAACGGTTAGAAAGTACGGAAAAGCGTATGTACATACGTACATACATACTCTATATTCCCCTACTCTTTCGTCTTTGGTATTGCGAAAGCGCTGTGGCCGTGGAGGCTGCTAACAGATGTTCGCACATACAATTAGAAAAATATTTACTGCGTTCGTGTAAAGGTGTTGCGCTAAACCTCGCGGAAAAATTTGTAAAAGTGTTGGTGTGAAAATATTTATATACTTTTATTGTGTGTGTGTGTATGTGTTTGTTGGTTTTGTTTATGATTTTCGTTTGCATCTGCAGCTGGATTAATGTGTTGTGCAGAAATAAAACAGCACAGCTTTGTCAGTGATTTTGAGCGCAAGTCAGCGGGCATGTGGCAGGTGGCAGGTGGCAGCTACCCGGCGGCAAAAGGCATTGGTCATATGAACAATATAAAAGCAATTCGTTAAATCCAATTTTGCACTTAGATTACGATTAAGCTTTGTCTGAAACCCTGAAACCTGATTATAATGAAAATTAGGTTTGTGATTTTATGCCATGAAAAAGCTAGTTTTTCAAGTACAGTATCAAGTATATTTTATTTCGTTTTCCATTGGTAATAAAAAAAAAACTAAACAAAATCACACTTATCACTAAGCTGACCATCCGTACACAGTACGTGTCAAAGGACAGTCCTTTTTCTCAACCCGCTGTCCTTTGCAACACCAAGACGCAACGAGATGAGCGACGCCAAACTATTGAACACTGTTCGCCGCTGGGACGTACACTTTTCGGGAAGAAAGGTACTGCAGGATTTCAGGACAATAATTGAAGAGCTGATGGTGCTCACCGACGAATTTGAGCTCCTCAAGAGCGAAGAGGCCAGGCAAAATAGACAGGCTGCATACAACCTACTCCCTTCGTGACGAAGGGAACAGTAGAAAGAAATCCTGCTAGCGATGCAAAGAACCTGGACACCGTTGCTTCTAATACCGAAGAGCTAAGAAACTATTCTAATCCACGTACGACCAGGATAACTATCTCTCCGAAGACTGGTTATATGCGACACTGCCAACTCATCAGATGCTAAATTGCACGCCAAACCTTCCAACTCCAAAGCAATACCGATCCCTACAACTACTGGCGGCTACTAGACACTCGCGCCGCGGTAAGATTCAACCATCCAGCCGTCGCAACGATCAACTTGTCACCAAACGAGCGCCTCGAACAAGATCAGGTAGTTAAGACCACGCTGGTCTCAGTGATCCCAAATCTCGCCGAACGTATCAATCTAGATACTACGCCAGATGACCACCAAAAATTAGCCGCAGCCAACTCGCGGACCCAGACACACCAGTCAAGTTGTGCGCATTAAAGGCTCAGTTAGTCTAGACTTAACTTAACTTACGTAAGAAATCGTCCGTGATTACTCATAACGTCAACTTAGCCAGAAGCAAAAATATGTTGTCTTTATATTTTTCTTTTTAGCTAATTGCCATTTTGCCGTCTATAATCCACATCAAAAAATTCCTGGACAAAAATATATTTCGTTGGCCGTGCTGCTTGCGTTCTCACCATAGCTCACCAGTCGATTCGGCGTCATAACTAGCGTCCGGACTTTACTCCGGTCGGAGTAGATTTACTCCGATTTCTTTTTTTTTATTTTAAATCTACTCCCTACTCTACGTTTGACCTAAAATACAGAACGTCACCGTCAATATCTTTCCTCCATGCTCCCTCTTCCTTGGACGTAAGGTTGCCGGGTCTTTAATTATAGCGCCTTGTTTGTATTCGAATTAAACGCAAAAGAATACTGTATTTTATTTAGTGAGGGTTAATGGGACCTTCACCCGGCTCTGTAGCGGCTGAGCTTTCATCAGCCTTTGACAAAACCCACCTCATAAGTTAATTAATCACATAACTTCCAAGAACTTTTCCTTACTAGAGTAAGGGCCGCGCCTGATTATAATACTATCACGGAGTGTACTTAGTCCAATCACTGACAAAGCGGACACAAATTAATATATTATTTTGATCGCGCTGGAAGTTTCATTAATAGAATGTGACATAAATTGACAAGAAATCTTCAATTCGTATATTTGAATATGAACCACTCGATTACTCCGTAAATTTTTACCCTATTAGCCGCAGGTATTAAAAATTGATTAGATGTAGTCAATTTCTGCACCACTCCCCTATTGTCAGCTAAACCTATCAATTTCACACCAACAATGCTGCTCCCAATCATCTCCATTCATTATGTTAGAGTAATGTGCGTGTGCTTTAAAACCATTTTTTTTTTCAAGATTTAAAGTTGAACTCATTAAATATTTAATGAAGATTTGTAACATTTACAAATCATACAGCAAAAGAAATGGGAGGAAGCCATTTTTAAATTAAGAGATTCGGAATTTCAAATGTGGTCAGCGTGCACGAAAGCTTGCACACACTTCCATGTAAATTGCAAATGGGGAAGCGGCGCACAATGGTCGGAGAGACAATATTTTATGCAAAAAAGGCATATTTGAAAACTGTGATAAATTAACCGGAATAAAGATATTCGTATGCATAAATGTCCTTGAGTTCGTTGATCATTATTTTCAATAGTATCTGCTAACTAAACCGTTGAGTCCATTTAATTCATCGAATTCGATCGTGGCAGGTTCTGACAGCTATGTGTGCTAAATTATCAATACCTTAAAAATATGTTTCAAGAAATATTTTTTTTTCAAATATATATAACTAAAAGTAAATCAAGCTGCGCATACTGACGCCAAAAAAATGGCGGCCATTTTAATTTCACTAGACCAATTTTAGCAGTTTTTCATATAGCCAAAAATCTAAGTTTTTTTGTAGCCACCCCAAATTGCATTTTGAGTTTAATAGAAATGAATGGGCTATAAAGCTACATAAGACAACATTTTCTAAAAATTCTTAATAAAAAGTGTGGAATCTTTGAAAATTTAGTGAATTTTTGTAATTTTTGCACAAAGTTTGAAACGTGGATCTATGTTATTATTTTGTGTTATTATTTCATTTTTTGATCGCAAATTAGTTCCAAATTGAAAAATTCAAATTCAAAAAGGAAATGTTCTACAACTAAGTGATACGTACCAATCGATTTATTTTTTCACCTAGAATAAAATTTGAAAATATTTTTATTTTGAAAAAAATTTTATGCAAAATTTAAAAATATAAAAATTACTTTTAATTTTTATTTTATAAATTCATAATTACAATTATTTATTATAGATTTTTATCTCTAAATAATGTTTAGATCTAAATAATCTGAAAATAACTGCTATTTTTGATTTTTATATTATATGTCTTAGATAATAGTTATTGAAGACTTTTATTTATAAACGTCATCATTAAAAATCTGTCCGAAGTAAAGAAGTAACCAACTTTTATTTTTTAAGATAGATTTTTAAAAGTCATTATAATTTTTCGCAGTTAAGAAGGTGTTGGATAACAAAAGTTTCCTACGACTTATACAAATGACTTTTGTAAATGTGATTTAAAAAACAAAAATCAGTGACTGATTTTAATCTATGACTTTTATAAATAATATTCTTCAATAACTATTATCTAAGACATTTAACTTAAAATTCAGAAATGACTGTTATTGCCAGATTATTTAGATAAAAATCAAAAATAATTGTTATTTTGGATTTATTAAATAAAAATCAAAAAAAGCTGTTATTTAACGAGAAATTCAAAAAAAAAGTCTAAAAGCACCTGTTAAAGAGCAATTTAGGAGAAATACGAATCACAAATTTTGTACGCCCAAGTTTGATAGGCATTTTATTTTCTCCCGCTATACGGCGAAATCAATTTTTTTCTGGATATTGGACCAAACCAATTTTTTTTCAATAGATTGAGTCGGAAATAAAAAAATAATTTCTCCGTTTTTCGAAGTTAGCCTCCGAAATCGAGATATGGGCCTTCGAAGTAGGGAATTTGATAAAAAATTATTTTTAAATATTGTATGTCAATAACTAAAAAAGTAAAAGTATAGACATAGTCCGCCCTTTGCTCTTATTTAAACGGTATACAACTTTTTTTGTGCAAACTTTTATTTCAGGTCCCTTATAACACTTAAAAATCAGTTAAAATTTTTTTTAAATACAATTTCCCCAATTTCCCCTATATACCAGCCCCCCCTTGATCCGCCCCTTATTCGGACTTAGCCTTACAAAAAAACTACGATCCTGCAATTTAGTTATAAACGTAAACGCCTTTCTAATATTTCGCGTAAAACATGGCTTCCCGACCACTGTGCGGCGGTCATCTATATCTTGGCTTATTTGCTTTATAGCATGTAATTATTTTTATTTTTCCCCCTTTTCACGCTTATTAGCTAGCATGTCGATATTCGTCTTTTGCTTATTTACGCACAATGAAAACGAAATTTTAATTGGAAAATTTTGCGTGCGTAAATAAAAAAAAAATTTAATTAAATAAGATGCGAGCAAAATGGAAGGAAAATATTAGCATTTTTGTGGTCTCCTTTTATTCGCAGTGTCGTGCAATAAGCATGGAAAATTTAACTAGCAAAAATAAAAATTTTCATATTTTTCATTTAAATGTGAATTAAAATTTAAAGAAATCGCTGTTTATTTTCTTTTCGTTTGGTTGTTTGCCCAAAATTATGCAGAGAAATGGAAATTAGCCTACGGAAGTACCGATGTAGCTGATGTGAACTGTCTGTGTGAACAAGTGATGGACTGCGTCAACAAAAGACAAAATTAACAAAACAAAAACTTTTGCAGCAAAATACTCAAAACAACAAATGAAAAGTATAAAAACCCATTCATGTTAAATTCAATTTTCCTTTTGAAAGAAAGAAACTTACTACCGCAGACCAAAACAAAACCTCATCAAACGCTTTCAAGCTTAAGCGCAATACCAACAACTGCTGTGGCAGTTTAAATCGACAAATGTAACAGCAAAAGCTGTCTAAATAATTTAGCTGAGCCATTAAATTTACGCGAGCAATCTCAAAAATAATCGCAAAACACAAAGCACAAACATATACCTCTGCATCTAGACCGTTCGAGTGAGCCCAAAATTGAATAAAGCGCCAAAGATAAGGAGAAGTCCCAAAATTATCTCGGTAAGCAAACAAAACAGAAAAAGATTACAAAATTTAAAAGCGCCAAGAAATTTACTGTCAGCGATATTTCCGACAAAAGAAAATTCAATTTAAAACGCGTTAAAACATTTTCACCTTCGCAGGATGTTTATTTTTGTATCAAAATGGACAAAAGCAGCAAAAAAGCAAAGGTAATCATGTTTATGAAAACACACCGATATATCCACTGATAAGCCTACAGAGACGACGGAGTTGAACCGATTTAAGCCATTAGTTTTATTCTCAAACATAATGCCGATCCGGGTCATTTTCGATGACAACACTGATCAGAGACCGTAGAACACGGAGAATATGCAAAATTAGTCTACGCAGCTACCTCGTCGGTGGTTGTGCATTAGGGTGATCCACAAAGAGTAAAGTTGAATTTTAATGCTCTTACCCCCTAGGATTGTTCTATGTCGAAAAAGTATACCCCTATTTTTTCTTTTAATTTACAATCAAAAAATAAAGGCCGCTCAAAGCGCACAAAGTTTTCCATGTATTTTATATGGGAAAAAACCACTTTTAGTAGAAATGGTATAGCATTTTTGAAAATCAATATTTTTCGATCGGAAAACTCAGGTTCTCTTCAGTAAGTTTTCAATAGTAATACCCAATTTTTCATTTAACCATACAATTCACTTTCTAAGATAGGTGTACCACCACCTTCGACCAAAAACAAGTTCGAGTTGAAAATGACAGCCAAGTGAAGCATTGTCGCCTGACTGGAACTTTTATAGTAATTTTTTGAAAAACAAAATCAATATTCGCATCTGAAATTAACTAATTGAGAGGGAGGGTTAGCCTGGCAGATGCCTGCTATGCAAATAAAGTATTTATGCCTAAATATATAGTAATTTTCGCATCGTGAAAACAAATTGAATCAAGCAAATTTTCGTGAAATTTTCAACCAGCATGTTTACGAATTGAATATTCATTCAATGGCCAAAATATGCTTTAAGGGTAAATGAAAAATATGATGGCAAATACTAAGATTAAAACTCACTTTGGCCATTTAGCATTCATGCTGTGAAAAACCATTCAAAAAAATGTGCGCCGAAAAACCCGTACTGCAGAAAAAAATTCACGTTTTTTTTTAATTCTTTACTTTATTTGCGTGTTTACCCATATTTGCTCAGCATATTCCAGTACCGAACACGAAAAGGTGTGTATGCACAAAATGCGGCCGCCAAAGATTATTATTTCAAATAATTTATCATTTTAGTAAAGCAATTCAAATGGAAATAAGTGCGAAAATGATAGAGAAAAGGCGTGTCAAAAAATGTTAAGGTGAAAATGAAATCACGCAATTTTTTTTATAATTTTTCTGCAGCCAAGCCCGACATTATGACTAATTTTTTATTATTACGAGCCATAGGCTAGCTGAGTTTATCCCTTTCAACTCTTCGCCTTCCAAGCTGTAAGGTAATTTTTCCTTTTAAGCACAGTGTTTGCTTCTATAAATTTGACCTTTTCTCGCTTCGCCGCCAATAGTTGTTAGGCATCAATCAATATCAGCACCTGGCAGTCCTTTGGGCATCAAAGTAAAAATTATCATGCTTCATCACAAGGTATTTTATTTATTAGGGGTTTTTTTTTGTTTGTGTAAAAGTGCGATTTTCTGTGAAATGTTGTTAAAGCATAGAAGAAGTTATGACAATTGATTTCAGAAGGTCGATCTGTCATTTAAGACGAAACATGCGTCTCGAAGTTTTAAAGTCCAACTGTTCTAGGCATTCAATTAACTCACTGAACTAATTATTTCTTACAAAATAATAGGCACATAAACAATAACGTACAAATGGTTTACTGGAACTGAACGACCGTAGCGAAAAATTAAAAGCTTAGACTGATGATAGGAGATTAATGGTAGTGGTAATAAGACTATGCGACGGTCAATTTTACACACAAAAAAATTAATAGATTCACAAAACTGGGGGCCAAATATAGTAATGCTGCGTTTTTAGTTTTTCTCTCTAACGTCATTTTTAGAAGTACTCTAAAATTTCTATAATATGGTTTAATAAAAAAATTATTTAAAAGATTCGATGCATTGTAGAATAACAACATCGTTACCAATTAAAAGAAAAAATTCAGTAGAATAGAAAAAAAAATTAATGTTTTGGTGCACCAATAAGTATTGAAAATGTCCTTTTAAAACTTTATCCTTGAATATCCTGAGAAATTTCCAATATTTATTTTTGAAAAAATATATGTCAAGGACTAATATGTTAACTAAGACTCGAATTTCGTCCTTCGAACTTTATTAGTTTTAGATAAAAAAATTTTACCCAATATCTTTATAAGATGTTGATAGTTACAATATACATAAATGAAGATACTGGAATCGTTATTTTGGAACCATGTATGCGCTCTGTGGTGTAGTGGTAAGCAGTGCGCGCTTCCACTCCGCTACGCCCGGGTTCAAACCCTGGTCAAAGCAACATCGCAAAAAAAATGTAGAAAAAAGTTTTTTTCTTAACAGCGGTCACCCCTCGACAGGCAATGGCAAACCTCCGAGTGTATTTCTGCCATGAAAAACAGCTTCTCATAAAAATATAATCGCCGTTCGGAGTCGGCGTAAAACTGTAGGTCCCTCCGCTTTGTGTGATAACATTAAGGCGCACGCCACAAGTCGGAGGAGAAGCTCGGCCAAACACTAATATATGTGTAACCGCCAATCTATTATTATTATGTATGCGCTCTAAAAGAACAAGCTGACCGTATGATGTACGGTTTAAATACATAATTTTTTTGTATACAAGGGCGTAGCCAGCCTTTCACCTAGGGGGTAAGAGTTTATATAGAGAGAAAAAATGTTTTAAATTCATTTTTTTCTTTGTGTATATAAAAATAAATTTTTGGGATTAACAAAGTATAAGTTTTCTGGTATCCTTTACAACGTCCCAATTTTTTTAAAAATCGGTTTGTTATTTTTTTTTTAATATTTTTTTTTTTTGCTTTTAAGTGTTGTTTTAAATTTTTATATACGAAGCATTCAAATATGCATACCAGAAGAAAGAGTATTTAACCGCCTTTACAACGATACCTACTTTTTATAGTGTTACGCACATGAGAAGGAAGAAGATTTGATTGCGTCAACAACGATATTAATTTTTTTTAAATCGGTTAGTTATTTGTTTGTTTAAAATATTTTTTTTTATAAAAAAAGGTATTTTTTCCTTTTAAATGGTTTTTCTCAAATTTTTATATACAAAGTATATAAATATGCATATCAGAAGGTTGTCTAATCACGTTTACAATGATACCACCTTTTTAAAAATCAGTTCAACATTGTTTGAAATATGAGGTTTTTAATTTTTCGAAGACCCGCCTTTTAGCACCTGTAATATTAGTTTGCAAAAAAAAAAAGTTATAAACCATTTAAATAAGAGCAAAAGGCGGTATACGACTGTATTTTCAGTTTTTTAGTTATTTACATATAATAATCAAAAATAATTTTTACCAAAGATTCTATTTTGAACTTCGAAGGCCCATATCTCGATTTCGGAAGCTAACTTCGAAAAACGGAGAAATCACTTTTTTACCCATGACTCAATCTCTTAAAAAAAATTGGTTTGGCCCAATACCCAGCAGAGTGCTGTACAGTGTAATGATTCCAGTATCTTCATTTATGTATATTGTAACTATTGCACAATTTTTTTTATCTAAAACTAATATAGGTCGAAGAACGAAATTCGAGGATGTGGTAGTTTACTTATCAGTCCTTGATTTATTTTTTCAAAAATAAATATTGGAAATTACCAAGGATATTCAAGGATAAAATTTTAAGAGCACATTTTAAGCATTTGTTTGTACTGATGCAACAAAAAATAAATTTTTTTTTAATTTCTAAAGAATTTTTCCTTTTAACTGATACCCATATTTTTACTCTACAATGCTCCAAATCTTTTAAATAATTTTTTTATTCAGTCATATCCAAGAAATTTCAAAGTCCTTTAAAAAAAAATCTGTTTTGTGAATGTATTAAGTTTTACGTGTGTTTTACAAATTTTTGGTTTTTGTCGCACGGTGTAATAAATATAAATTCTTATAGGGGATTTTTAAAAGAACAACAGGAGCCAAATCAACAATTTTTAAAATTTTAGTCTGTATGTTTGTACGCACATCACGCGAAAACTAATGCATGGAATTTAATTCAGCTTTCGCTGATATATTGTTAGAGATGCAGCTTAAAATACAGAAAGGAAATAAATTAAAGAGGTGCCAGCTGTTTAAAAATTTCAGCGAAAATATTTTTGAGGAGGGTTGCAACCTGTTTGAAAATTTCTGTTCAATTAAAATAATAAAATAAATGAAATATTTCAATACGTGTATCGAACAACATAAAAATACTTTTAAGGCTCAGCGAAGCACGCCGGGTATTTGCTAGTTTACCAATTATTTATAAGATACGTAATTTAGACATCTTTTGTTTCTTCTCTAGGGCTTCTGAAACAATTACAAAGACGTTTTTCTCACTATCTGGTGTTGATGGAAACTTTATACCTACGGATTCATAATCAACACAAAATATTATATCTAAAATAGCTTTGACATTTGCCGCACCAAAATTTTTGATTGTGTGTGTGTTGAAAAATAAATAAAATAATTTTCAGTCCTGGTTCGAGGCCCATTCCAGAAACTAGGCCAGACTAAAATGCAAGGCTTAAGATAGGTCCCAAACTGCTCTAACAAACATTATTACATCTTTCGTCAAATCCAAAAGGTTTGCAGATTAACAGGAGGTCTTGCAATAAGGCGCATCCCCTGCTAATTAGGTTCAGGACTATGCCCTGGCAACGCTACTACTCACCGACCAACAATTGTTTAAATTTTTGTTATTTAAAATACTAAAACTTCCC